CCTGGCTCTGACTCATCACCCACACCTGCTGCTGGAAATAGACCTGAGGCCAAGAGGAGGAGCTGGGGAGGGCGAGGAGGGCAGGGAGGGCAGGAAGGTGGCACCTGCAGGTGCCACCGCCATTCCCGCTCTCCCTGCAGAGGAGACAGATTTCATCCAGTAGAGCCCACCTGAAATAGCCAGGCTTGGGAATGTTCCTGGGGGTTGGAGAACCCAGCCTCCCTGGGAGGTCGTCCCAGGAGCAGTGAGGATTATAATAACAATAATGATGATGCCTCACTTCCCACAATGCCCAAGGCTACTAGTACTTGCTATGTGCTGGGCACCGGCTGAAGTGCTTTGCATGTCTTAATGATCTCACTGAACTCACAGTTCCCAGGGAGGTTTTACCATGATTAAGTCCTTTTACAGATGAGGAACTTAAGACTCAGAGAAGCAAAGTAACTTGCCTAAAACTACACAGCCCCTGTATTTGGCAATGTGGACCCAACTTAAGCTCCTCAGCCAATCCCAGCTCAAATGGCTCATTCCAGGTCACAGGTGCCAGCTCTGTTGCCATCTGCCTGGCCTACAACACCTTCCCTCTTTGCCAAGCTAACATCTCCTCTCTTACCACTCTGGGAAGTAGAAATTAAACCATAATCCTCCTTTCTTTTCTGTTTTTAGCCCAAGTCTGATCACGTTGCCTCCCTGTCTAAAACCTGCAGTAACTCTTCATTGCCCTCGAGATAAAGTGTATTCAAGGCCCTTTGTCAGGTGGGCCCTGCCCACTTCTCCAGCTTCACAGCTCATCGATCTTTGCTTGGGCAGGTCAGGACACCGCCCAGGGCTCTCTCTCCCAGTAGGCAACATAACACCCCTGGGCAGTAACGGGGAATGAAGAAGTTGATGCACACAGAGTACCTGGGAGGGCACTTGGTGCATGGCTGGTGTTTAGTAAACCTTCCTGCCCCACTATGAGCTGGAGCCAGAGGCTGGGGCAGAGTCGGTGGTGAGTGAAACAGTCTCTGCTTTCAGCCAGGATCAAGGGCTTATGGTGGGCCAGCCCAAGAGCTGTCAGTGCCATTGGAATCATCATTTTGAGAAATTCTGAAAGGCTTCAGGGCAGCAGTAGTTGTAACTAGGAAGGGGGGGTGGGGGGGCCAGTGGGTGAGGCAAAACAACTGTCGATGAAAATGTAAAATGGTACAACCACTATGGAAAACAGAATGGTGAGTCTTTAAAAAATTAAAAATAAAACTGCCATATGATCCAGCAATTCCACTTCCGTGTATATACCCAGAAGAATTGAAAGCAGGGTCTCAAAGGGGTATTTGTACAACCATGTTCATAGTACTAGTATTCACACGGAAGCAACCCAAATGTCCGTCTGTGGATATATGGACAACAAAATGTGGTCTATCCATAAAATGGAACATTATTTAGCTTCAAAAAGGAAGGAAATTCTGACACATTCTATAGCATGGAGGAACCTTGAGGACATTACGCTAAGTGAAATAAGCTAGTCATAAAAATACAAATTCTGTATGATTCCACTTACATGAGAAACTTAGAGGGGTCGACTAAAATCATAGAGATGGAAAGAATGCTGGTTGCCAGGGGCTGGGGTAACAGGGGGAATGGGGAATAATTGTTCAATAGGTAGAGAGCTTCAGTTTTATAAGATGAAAAGAGTTATGGAGATGGATGGTGGTGAGAGTAGCACATTGTGAATATATTCAACGCCACTGCATTGACTTACAAATGATTAAGATGGTAAATTTTCTGTTTGTGTATTTTACTGCAGTAAAAAAATTGGGGGGAAAAAGGCAAAGGAAACCAATTTCATAATAGAGTCTTTTTTACCTTCACCACAATCGAGAAGGTAAATATACCCACTCTATAGAAAGGAAAACTGAGGTCAGAAAAGATTCACCACAGTGTCAGGGGGAGAACTGGATCTGGGACCAGCTCTGTCAGGCTCCAAAGCCCATGCTCTTCCTTTGCCTGCACCCAGCACCTGGGTGTCGAGAGCACTGCCTCTGGAGAGGAGGTCCAGAGGTGAGGGTGGGGGGAATAGAGTTTGAATGGAGGCCTAAGGCAGGACTGGTTCTAGAACTTAAGGTGGGTGTGAGTGCAATGGGTGGAGGTGAATAGCTGGGGTGGGGTCATCTGTGACAAGCAGAGGAGCCTGGACTTGATCCTTCCCCCTGCCCCCACTTCCCAGAAAAGGAAACTGAGGACCTGTTCCTGGCCTGGGCCCCTATAATGCAGTGGGCAGGCGACCAGCTGGAGGAGGACTGAGGGAAGAAGGAAGATGCAGGTTGGGCAACAGCTGCCCCGTCTCCCCACCTGCCCACCGACACCCTCCCTTGCCCCAGAACCACGCCCCCACCCCCAGGCTTGGCCTGGTAGCCTGACTTACAGGTGGGAGTGACTCAAGCCCAGGGCCTGCTCTGGTGGCCCTGGCCCCTGGACCACAACAGAGCTCTGGGCCTCTCAGCTGTGATGTCAGGGCCCTTCCTTCCTCCCACATCTGCTTGAAAAGGTCACCTATTTTAAACACTTTCTCTCCCCACCCTGTCCCTCCCCCCAAAAGAGGATGAGTTTTTCTAACCTGTGTCAACAGCTCAGTTCAATATCCAAAGAGCTTTCTCCTCTGCTGCCCACCACCAGTGCCTCCACCAGAAAACTCCAGGCCTGGCCAACTCCCCCAGGTTGCAGGAAGCCACTCTAGTTGCTTTAAATTTAATAAATAATTCCTGAGCATCTGGTGCATGCCAAGCACTGTCTTGGGCCCCCAAAGATTGATCCCTGACTTCTTGGAGTCTACATTTTAATGGAGGCAGACAGGCAACAAATCAAGAAATTGACAAATACAGGAGTAAGATCATTTCTAATGGTGACCAGCGCTCTAAACAAAATAAAACAGGCTGAGAACATAGTGACTTGAGTGATCAAGGAAGGCTTCTCTGAGGAGGTGACAAAGATTTGGGAAAGAGAGGGAACAGCAAATGCAGAGGCATTGAGGTGGGAATGGAAAGCTTTGTTAGAGCACAGGTTCTTCACATGGGCCCCCAACCAGCAGCACCACCTGGGAACCAGTTAGAAATATAAGTTCTCAAGACTCACCCCAGACCTACTGAAAACCTCTAAGGGTGGAACCTGGTAAGCAAGGTTTTTAACAAGTCCTCCAGGTGATCCAATGCTTCTTAAATGTGGAAGGTCACTGAATTAGCGCTCAGGAAGAGAGCCGTGTGCCTGGAGTGTGGTGACCGGGACAGGCATGGCCCCGGATCCTTATCCTCACTCTAGCCCATCCATTCACCGCCTTGCCTCTTCTTGACCTCACAACCCTGGACCCCTCAAGGCAAAGCTGAAAGCTCTTCCAAGCCTCCTCATTGCCCTCTAGGTGAAATTAAAACCTCTCAGCTGGGCTTATAAGGCCCCTTAAGATCTGTTCCCAACCACTTCTCCAGCCTCATCCCTCAGCTTTCTCCCTTTCAAATCTTATACTCCTAAATACAGATGTTCCTCCACTCCTTCAAACATACTGTTGCCCTTCTCTAGAATACTACTTCTTCACCGGGCTAATTTTCAGCCATTCTTCAAAACACAACTCAGAATTCACCTCCTTCAGGAAGCCCTCCCTGATTGCCTTGTCAAAGTGAGGAGCCGCATCTCTCTATTTCCACACCAACCAGTCCCCATGCTTCCCCATCACTGTGTTCATCACACAGGTTTGACATTATCTGGGGGAAAAAGAGTTGTTTGCATTTTCATTTCCAGTTTTATTGAGATGTAACTGACATATAACGTTTGTATTAGTTTAAGGTATACCACATAATGATTTGATGTATGTATATATTGTAAAATGATTACCACAATAAGTTTGGTTAATATCCAGCACCTCACATAGTCACAAATTTATTTTTTCTTGTGTGGAGAAATTTAAAGAGCTACTTCCTCTCTTAGCAGCTTTCAAATAAACAACACATTACTGTTAACTTTAGTCACCATGCTATAGATGACATCCCCAAAACTTACTTCCCTTATAACTGGAAGTTTGTACCTTTTGATCACTTTCACCCAATTTCCCCCAACCCTGGGTTGTTTTTTAAATGAATTATTTTCTATCTAATTACACAGGAAATACATGAACATGTACTTCTTATAAAATTTTCAAACATACAGATATAGTAAAAGACTTCCTTCTCAGGAACACTAGTTTGCTGTCCATACATACATTTTTTGGCACATTGCACACATACATATAGATGTACAGAAGTTTAAGATTTATTTTGATTTTTTTTTCACTTATAAATGGAATCATATGAGTAAGAATTTTTCCACGAATTGTCTTCTTAACAATGTCTTCCAGGTCATTTATGTCAGAACATGGAGAGCTACCTTACTATTTTTAACTACCATATAAAATTCTAAAATATAAATGTACTGTCATTTTTCAAGTCATTCCCTAAATGTGTTTATCATATTTTAAATTTTCTGTATTTGATGATGCTTTCACATCCTAGGGCCTTGCAACCCTGGAAGGACTTCTCCTCCCAGGGCTAGCCAATTCTTAGAGATAGTCAACAACTTGCCTGAGAACACACCTTTCATATACAGACCAACCAATTCAAAACTCATATCCCCAACCACCTCCTCAGTCTAACTGTCACACACCAAGTCAGTATTTCCCCTGCCCTAAATCCCCCCAGGGCCAGGTACTGGACACCCAGGAGCCACCCCTATAGCCCAGAGCCTGCCGACATTATTCAAACTAGTAATTGTAAGCTTGTTCAAACTTGACAACCCTACCTCGCCCATTCTTTCCCAAGGAAACCATGATAAAGGCTCTGGGACACATTCTCCTCTCACTCCTTCGGCCTCCTGACCACGCCTGGTGTTTCCCCATGTGGCCTTGTGTAGTGTGGTGTGTCCCCTCTTCTTTGGAATTGTAAGTCACAGTATTTCTTTCAATGGCATTGGTCTCATGCTGTTGTCACTCAGTCACCTCTATAAATTAACCCCAGGTACAATCAAAACACAGAACGATGGACATTTAGAGGTTTTCATTTTGTCACTGTTACAGAAAAAGCCACCATGATCATCTTTGTATATGCCTCTTTGTACATACGTGTATTTCTCTAGGTGGAGGAATTGCCAGGTGCTAATTACCTTATTACTCATTGATTTCCAAGGGCCATGCCCCTCCCAAGCCCAGCCCCTTCTCCCCTCACCTTGTCAATTTCACAGCTATTGAATCACAGGATGAATGAGACTCCTCCTCAGGGATGGCCCCTGGAATGGTTTGGTAAGCTCCAAAGAAGCTCCGTGGTATAAAACATCTTCCCCCATCTACCTTGTCCTCTGAATTTCCTCCCATGTGAGTGGGAGCATTATTTGGTCAGAGAGATTTTCCCCTGGAAAGTAGAACACAGCCAGAAAGTCAGTGTGAGCTCGGTCAGAATCATGCCACACGGAAGGAACATGAGGAGTTTCCGGGTTAGTCAACACCTGGAGATTTGCAGGGAGTGGCACTCGGAGACGGCTTGGAAGCTCCGCACCCCTTCCCACATACTTTGCCCTACACTTGTCTTCTATCTGGCTGTTCCTGAATTATATCCTTTTATAATAAACTGATAATCTATTGATAATGTTGACCCTGCCCACTGGAAAGCAATGGGCTTCCCGGAGCTTCACTGCTGGGACTCCCACCTCCACAGCCTACTCAGGGCTGCCCTATTCGGACACACCTAGTTTCCCAGCTCTGGGGACATTGGTCCACACTGTGGCTGTGCTTTGTATCTCTTTGGCTTTCAAGATATTTAAATATATCCCTATCGCCCATCTAACTCTAAAGACTTCATTAAAATAGCTTTTTCTTTAAGAAAAAAAGGAAAGAAGGAAGGAAGGAAGGAAGGAAGGAAGGAAGGAAGGAAGGAAGGAAGGGAGGAAGAAAATGGTTTTGCGGTCAGAAGACCTGGACAAGTCATTTTATCTCTCTGAGTCGTGGTTTCCTCACCTCCCAGAGTGACTGTCAGAATATATGTAATATGTAACAATAGTATAATAATGTACGTAAAGCCACTCATGCATAGATGTGCTAAAAACCAAAGCAAAGCAGGCTGTGTATGCTTTTTGCCCCTCCAGATTGACTCACCTTTCTCTACCTGGGGAAGTACCTGGGCTTCTCTGCTCTCTGGCTTCCACTTGGAATTGATCAATGGCAGCACTGTAGAAAGACTGGTGTCTAAAGGAAGAGAGAGGAGTCAGGTATTTATCACCCTGGCTCCCTTTTCCCTGCTGGGCTGGGCTGACTGTGTTGATTTGTCTACCTGAGGCCACAGCTCCTTTCCTGCAGCTAGTTTCCCTACTCCCTCCCCTCCCCTCTTCTGGGCTGTTGCCAGTCCCTGGGTGCCCCTCCATCCTTTAACCCTCCAACCCCTGCAGAGATTAAGGCCCTTCATTAAACTCTCTCTCCAGCTGCCTCTTCCAGGGGGTGGCCTGTTTCCTGCTGGAAACTTGACTGATGCAAGGAGCCACTTTCCCCATTTTTACCCAAGTTCTCGCTCTGCCTGTCCCTCACTCCAGCTGCAGAAAGAAGGTCCTTGTATCCCAAAAGATAGACCAGTCTCAGGGAAGTCTTCAGACGTGTGGAGTGAGGCCCCAGTTGGGAGGAGTCCCTGCAGAGCTGCCTGCCCGGCTGAGCCCCACAGATAGCAGCCTTAGTTGAGGCCTTAATGCCAAAAACACTCATCTGCTAAGTGGCTGAGCCAGGACTTGAACCCAGGCTTCCCAGCAGGAACCATCCTCAGGAAACTACAGGAGGATCCGGGGCAGCTTGGGAAGAGCCAAACCCAACTCTTCAGAGAGAGAGGACCTGGGAGGAGGACGCCTCGAGCTTGGGAGAGGGGATGCGAGCCTCCCATCTGTATTCCAGATGCGTACTGTGACTAAAATACAGGATCAAGGGCCCAGGGTGACACAGCCCAGGAAGGACGCTCCGTGAAATGATGCTCCTAGTTATTACTTCTTTGTAATTTCCTTCTTGACGTAAAATTTGTGAGTCACAGTCTCAGAACTTGTCTAGGTTTCACAATCCACACAAAAGTTTGCAGACACTGCTGTGTCTCCTGCCAGCACATTTTAGACAGTCATTTTCCCCCCTCCTCCCCCTCTTCGGGACATCAGGATTTATTTTGGAAGGTTGGTGATGGGAGCAAGTCAGGAAAAGGTAAGCACAAGACATGGGCCTCTCAAAGGCATTCGTGCCAAGGGTCTGGTCAGAGTTCCTTCTTCTCGAAACACAAGCAGACATCCATTTTGTTGAGCGCCTACTGTGGGCAGACAGTGGATTAGGCAAAGTTGGACCAATGGTTAAAACCACAGACCCTAGATCAACCGGATTCAAGTTCCAGCTCTACCACTTTCTGGCTGTGTGACTTTAGACAAGTCAGTTTACCTCTCTGAGCCTCCGTTTCCTTATGGATACAAGGGTGGAAATAATAGTGCCTCCCTGACAGGGTTGCTACGAGGATTAAATGAAGCAACACATTTAGATGCTTAGAGGAGGACATAGCACATTGTGAGCATGCAAAAAATATTAACAGTCATTACCATCATCAAATGCAAGTCCGGAAATGCTTGTGACACATTCACGGCACATGAGCATATTTATAATAATAATGCAATTTTGATACTGATGGGTATTTGTAGCAATCAGTTTTATCCTTCACCTGTTGCTCTTCGGCCCAAGACCCTCTGACCCAGCCCCCTCGCTTAGCATGAATTCCTCACCCCTTTGAGGTCTCAGTATCACCTCTTTAGAGGGTCCTCTCCAACCGCCTAATCTATCAGAAATGCGCTCTGTCTCTACCTTGTTTTTATTTTCATCATAGAACTTACCATTCTCTGACACATTCCCACTGACTTGTTTGTTTACTTGCTCATGACTGGCCTCTCCCATGAAAATGCAGGTTTCCACGAGAACCAGAGCCTGACATCCTGGTCCCTCCTAGATTCCTAAAGCCAAGTACAATGCCTGGCACATAGTAGGTGCTTAAAAATTATTTGTTCAAAGAACAATGAAGACATTTGATCTTCGCTTTACCCGACTTGAGGCACCAATGTCTCCTTTTTACAGAGGAAGGTGATGGAGGCTCAGGGAGGCAGGCCGATTGGATCTCTTAGCCTCAAGCCTGCCTGTCTTAGTCACTGAGTTGGCTCCACTTTGCATCTGATCTGCATCCCAGAGAGTGACAGGATGAGGTGGTGATGGTCTGCCCTCCACCCAACTCCTGGTACCACGTGGTGTGGAAACAGCATCTGGCTCGTAGCAGGAGGCCCGGTTCCCAGTTCTATCGCTGATTCGTTGGGTGATCATGCGTGAGCTGCTTCTCCGCACTTGGCCTCAGCCTCTCACCTAGAAAATGAAAGCGGTAGAATAGATCAGAGGGTTTTTGTTTTTTAAACTGATATATAACTCGCATACCACAAAAGATCAAAACTTTTCAAACTTTCTTTTGTCTCAGCATCTTCTTTTCCGAACTTAAATTTTATATGAAGACCCAATATGTAAACAAGATAGCAGTGCGTCTGTTCTGAGGAGTGGAGGGGGTGGCCTGAGAGCTGGCCTGCTTAGTGTCCCCCTTGCTTGCACCACGCTCCCCCTTCCCCACCCTCACTGGTTGCTGGGGAACCCCTGCAGAATCCCAGGGCTTGGAGGAACCTAGTTTGAAAACCACTGGACAAGAATCATTCTTTAGGGTCCCTCCCAAGGTACAGGAGCCCTAGGGAGTGGGGAGGGGCCTGTGCTCTCCCAACTTGCTGATGAGAGTTGTTCCTTGAGCTGCAGTCCAGCTGCCTCCCGAGGGTCATGAGAAAGAAGGCGAGGGCAGGCCCGGGGCGGAGGAAGTGGAGCCGGCCAGCTGGGAGGTAGCAACAGGCGCTGGTACCATGGCCTCCTGGATGGGCCGGTGACATCACAACCCCAGGAAGCAGCTGCCTGAGAGGCCCTCGCTGTCCCTCAGTTCTCCTCTGGGAAAAGCAGCCACCAGCTGTTGGAGTCCTCTTCTCACTGGCTTGCTGTTCTGGACTGTCCCCTCCTGAACCATCATCTTCAGCACAGCAGCCACTTCCTTTCCTTAACCACCTACTCTGTGCCGCCAGCACGGCACTACCCTTCAAAGAACAGCTCATAATTGTGTGCATTCCCTTCTTCTGTCGTTTAATTCAATCATCACATCCACATTATGAAGTAGGAACCGTACCACCCCCATTTTACAGACGATGAAACTGAGGCTCAGAGGGCAAAATAGACGGCACAAGATTACCTAGCTGGTAAACAGCGGAGCCAGGATCTGAACCTGTTTCTGTCTGACTCTGCCTGTGTTCTTGTTATGAATGATCACACTGTCGGATTCAAGGCCAAACAATCCCAGGTGGAGATTTCTTCATCCGTGGCAAGGTAAGGTTGTAAATTTCAAACCCAGTTTCTTTTATTAATGGTTATTCCTGGTCTACTATTCAGGCTGAGGCTTAGGATGCATGGAAAGGGCTTAGCACACTTCCTGGCACTCAGTAGATGTTAGCTATTACTATGTTCCCATTCTACAAAGCGGGAAACTGAGGCACAGAGGAGTAAAGTCCATTCATGAGACAACAGAACAGGTAAGTACCAAAGCCGGGTCTAAGAGCCCCCAGAGTCGAAGCTGTTTCTCTCGAGTCCTGAATTTCTCAGCCAGGTTATCTTCTTGCTCAACCGCTGTTATTCTCCTAGGGCTGTTGTAACAAACTTGGTGGCTTAAAACAGCAGAAATATATTCTCTCCCAGTTCTGGAGACTAGTGGTCCAAAATCAAGGTGTTCCCTCTGGAGGCTGAGTGGGAGAATCTGTCCCGCGCCTGTCTTCTAGCTTGTGGTGCTGATGGCAGTCCTTGGTGCTCTTTGGTTTAGGGCTTCATGACTCCAGCCTCCGCCTCTGTCTTCACTTGGCCTTGTTCTCTCTGTGTCTCAAATCTTGCTTTCCTTCCTCTTAAGAGGACATCAGTCCTTGGATTTAAGGCCCACCCTGAATCAGGATGAGATCATTTTGACATCCTTACTTTAATTACATCTGTAAATACTCTATTTCCAAATAAGGTCATATTCACAGGTATGGGGGTTGGAAATTTAAGGACCATAAATCACCACCTACATACACACTTCAGCAAATCTTCATTGAGCATGAACAATGTGCCAGCCAGGACCACAGCAGGCGCATTGCATTAATGCTGCCACAGTCTAGGGGCAGAAGCAGACAGGCACAGGTAACTGCAGGATGTTTTTCTAACAAACAAAACATATGGACCCACAAAACAGAGCAAGTAGTAGTGTCCGGGATGGGGTAACGCAGGGAGTGTGGTGTGTGTTCTGTCAGTCAGTGGCTATTTATTAAGCACTTACTATGTATAAGACACCTTAGGGGAAAAAATATACTTGAAAAAAAACCCAAAAACACAGAGTAGGAGAGTAAGCCTGAACTTTAGCTTTGGAGGCAGAAAGACCTTAAAGGCGGGCTTTAACCCGTCTGTGCCTCAATTTCCTCATTTCTAAAATGGGAATACTAATAACACTTGCCTCAAAGAGTTATTATTAGGTTTAAGTGAAACCACCCAAGCATTCAGTCAGCAAATATTTATTGAACATTTTCTATGTGCCAGGCACATAATGCACAGGAAGGGGCCAGCCTAGCACCAAGAAAGCATTTAGTCAATATCAGTTCTTGTCCTCTTTCCCCTAATTCACAAGTGAGGTGAAAGTTCAGGACAGAAATACAAAAGAAGTGACAAGGCAGGACAGGCTAAAAGCCCAGTAAAGAGCATAGATCTGCGTGTTTAGGAATAGTGAAGACATGGCCAGATAGGTCTGCAAGTGCTTCCCGGGGGAAGTGGCCTTTTGAATCAGACCCTGGACAGAGAAGAAAGAGAGAAAGGAAGACTCCATGTAGCAACGGTGGTGTGGACGTATGGCTGGGGTGAGGAAATTTGTTGGGAAGAAAAGTAGGTTGGGGCCAGACAGTGACCTTTTCTGCAGGATTCTAGGGAGCAACTGACGCATCATAAAAGGTAGAAGTTTTCTAAATTTAAAACCAAAAATTAAAGGTAAGCACAGATGAGAATGTACTTAACTGTATCACAAGCATTCGTATTTCTTTAAATTTTGCTCCAACGTTGGTATCACTGTTTATGCAGGCCATTTCCTATAGGGAATAGTTCCATATATTTCCACTCTATTCAGCTTGTCGAATTTTCCTGTTCATCAAGCTCCATGAAGGCAGGGGCTGTATCTCAGCACCAGTACATCCCTGATGCCTAGCTGGGTGCTTTGTATATAGTAAGCACTCAATAAGCATTTCATTGAACGAATAAATTACTTTTGTATTTCTGTTTTACATAGGAGCATGACATGTTGAATGGTATGCTATAATTCATGCTTCCTGGCCTAGAGCAAGTATGATATTGACAGCACAATACATAAGCCAGGTGGGACTATTTAGCTGGAGACAGCTACTGGAATGATCGGCCCCGAATATAGTCGGACAGAGCTGTACAGAGACCTTGCTGAACTAAACTTATGAACTCCCAGGCTGTGCTGTAAACCCATTAGGCTGTGTTGCTCTAAACTCGGGGTCAGCCAACCAAAGGTGGATGCAAAAGACTTTAAACAAGCCTGCAGCTTGAGACTTGAAATAGAACAGAAAGGGAATTCACAGGACTGAAATTTGTCTTCTTACTGGAGCTCTTGAGATCTGAGGATGCTGGCTGGGCTAACTCTACGTTGAGATAAGAAATGGCAGCTTCTTTAAGGTTTATTTTGTTTTTGGAGCCACCAGATCCAGGGGGTGGATCATGCCCTGAAATAGAAGCATCTCGAAAGGCCTGTGAATCATTTCTTAGCGCCAGCCTGTGAGGTTTCATATCCTGTTCTCAGAGTTACCTTGGGTGCTCTGTGTGTGTGTGTGCGTGCATGTGCGTGCGTGTGTGTGTGTATTGTTTTCAGGGGTGTTTGCCTAGGATTTGGTTTTGAAACTTTTACTTTCTTTTAATAGCTTTTTTTTTCAAGCTGGAAGAATTTTTCAAATGGCTTTTGCGAGAAAGTTCAAACCCTGGAATGACTAAGTCTCTGAAAGAATTTGGACTTTGTGAGGGGAATTTGTATTCGGTATGAATCATCCAGTCAGATTTCTGCAGCTAAAAGATCTTTTAGAAAGCTTTTAGGTCAACCCCCTCGTCGTACATGTGGGTAAACTGAGGCTTATGGAGGGAAGGGGTTCAACCAAGGCCACACACAGTGTCAGTGGAAGTGATGGACCCATAATGCAGGTTTGACTCCTGGAGCCAGCTTTGGGTTTGCAAGAGGTTCTCCAGGACCCAATCTACATTTAGGTGAGCACATCTTCAAGATCTATAAAGGAATAGAAAGATAAAAGGTTCTGAGGAGGCAGAATTCACCCAGCACATGTGTAGAAGGACAGGGAAAGGAATGTATGGAGGTGTCTTACATGTACTCCCTTATTTAATCCTCCCCAGATCCTATTAGAGCAATAGTTCTCAACCAGGGTTGACTGTGCCCCCAGGGGACATTTGGCAAGGCCTGGAAACATTTTTGTCAAGAGGGGAGGTTGCTACTGGCATTTCCTGGGTAAAGTCCAGGGATACAGCTTGACATCCTACGATGTGAAAGACAGCTCCCACAACAAAGAATTATCTGGCCCCAAATGTCAATAGTTCCAGAGATGAGAAACTCTGCTATTTGGAGGGCACTCTTCTGTAGTACCTCCCAATTTAATAGCCAAGAAAGCCGAGGCTCAGAGATACAGCCACTTACAAGTTGCGTGGTCCTGGGCAAATTACCTAACCTCTCTGTGTCTCAGTTTTCCTCATCTATAAAATAGAGATAATATCACTTCTGTCAATTGTTGTTATGATGACTAAATAAATCAATATTTATAAAGCACTCAGAACAGCACCTGGAACATATTAATCATTATATGAGTATTTGCTAAAATAAAATTTTTAAAAGTAAACAAACAAACCTGCCCAGAATACACAGAAAATAAGTGGAAGAATTTTGTAATGAAAGCCTAACGACATTTAAGGGTGTGAGGACTAGAAGATGAGACCTTCTGGGGGTGTAGGGCCCTGAGAGCAGGTAAGGCACGTGGCCATCCACATGCAAACTACATCTCCCTGGCCATGAAGTTTTCCTTTCTAGACACTGCTATCTTAAATGCAACTTCATCTTTTTATATTGACATGATAGGCACTGTTAAACATGAATATCTTTGGCAAGTCTGACACAGTAAGCCACTATCAGTCATCAGTAATTGCTCAGGATAATTTAGCTCCCCATCTACAAGTCAGCCTACTACCCATTCCCCAGG